CCCACCTTTGCCTTGCAGCGAAAGCCGGCGTGTGCCCGAGCCCGGCGATGGATGCGGTGAACTGCACGGTCGGGTGCCAGTCCGATGGCGACTGCGAGAGCACCCTCAAGTGCTGCCCGGCAGCCTGCGGCAAGGCCTGCCAGAAGCCTGACGGTAACACTCCCTCCTGCTCCTGGCCGTGCTGCCCAGAGTCGGTGCCACTGCCAAGAGCCAGCAGCCCGTCCCAGCCGGCAGTACTGGTGCTCCGGTGCAGCGGTGGCCGCAGGCCTGGGCGCCCGATGTGTGTTCAGCTGCAGCACGGGGACTGGGGGCTGCGTGGAAGCACCAGCAGGCTCGGGGTGTGCTCAGCATGGGCCATGCTCACACCTTCCTCCTCTCAGTGATGCAGGGGATAAGTGGACACCTCCGAATGATGCTGGGGCTTGGGTGGAGGGTGAGGTCTGCGCCGCTCCCCACTGTTGCCTGCTCAGCCTTGTGGGCAGCTGCCAGCCCAGGATATGGGCACTGTTCTGTGTTGAGCACACTCACACTCCTTCTGGACAGCAACTCAAGGAGATGGGTGCAGGAGTTGGAATCCACAGCTGCAGACAGATGGATGTGACCTGGAGGCTCCAGTGCCTCCATGGCTGCCTGTGGGACAGCGCTGGCTTGTTTGTACCACAGTGGAGGGCAGCATGGTGCAGAGCCAGAGCTCAATGCCAGTGGCAGGCAGTGGGACAGCGGGGCAGGGGCCCCACACTGCCGGGCAAAGGCTGTTTGGGGGGCACGTGTGCCCCCATGCCATGAACGAACAGCCAGGGTCATACATGGCATTGCAGAGGACAGAAGGGCCATGGCCTCCATCATGTCTGCATGTTGTAGCTGTATGTCCTGTGCCAGCCTGGAGCAGGAACACTGGGCATAGGAATTGTTGGGGACCACTATGCCACGTGGCCTCCCTGATGTGTCCCCATCATGTCCAGCTGGCAGGGAGCGCCACCAAGCAGAGCTATGGGATGGAGGAAATGCCGGGTTCCATGGTGGTCCCTCCTCCATGGCAGATAGGGGCCAGGGCCATGCCCGCAGCTTTGGGAGCTGCAGGGTGGGCCCTGCCCAGCATGCCAGGGCCAGCAGGTCTCAGCCATGTTCCTTTGCCTTTCAGAGAAGCCTGGCACCTGCCCACCCGTCAACCCGGGCATCCCCATGCTGGGCGTCTGCACCAACCAGTGCAAGACCGACGCCAACTGCTCTGGGATCCAGAAGTGTTGCAGGAATGGCTGCGGCAAGGTCTCCTGTGTGACACCCATCCACTGAGGTCAGTTGGGTGCATTCCAGCCCCAGGGATCCCACAGCACTGCATCATGGCACCTGTGCACCCATCCTGCTCACAGCCTCTGCTCCTTTGCAGGTGCAGCCGCCTCCTGCCAGCCCAGCCACGGGGAAGCTGCTGCCCGATGCCCATCCTGGATGCCCTGGCCCTGCACCATCACCCCCTGTCTTGGAGCCTTCAGCCTCAGTTTTGTCCCTGGGGTTCTCTGCTCGGGGTGAGCCCCCTGCACTCTGCACCAATAAAGCAGCTTCTCCCTGTCATGCTGTGGCTGCCTCTCCATCCCACACCATGGCCACCTCTCTGTTCCATGCTGTGGCCACCTCTCCATCACGAACCATGGCTGCCTTTCCATCCCATGCCAGGGATGCCTGGAAGGGCTTCACACAAGCAGCAGCATCGACTAACTGTCATGCCTCCAAGGGTCCCCAGCCTGTGCCCTGCCTGGGGCTGTCTCATGGGTCCATGGCCCCAGCTGTCTCTGTACTCTGGCTTCTCCACCTTGGGAGGTGTTCAGAGCACGTGTTCAGAGCAGAGCTGTTGAGGTGCAGCTGTGTCCATGTCCCATCAGAGCAGATGTGGTCCCTGCTCCCTGCTCCGCAATGGCCAGGGGACAAACAGGCTGCAGTGCGTGCCCGTACACGAGCATCACCCAAACTCCTCCTTACCTTCTGCCCTCCCAGCCTGGCCATGGCACCTTGCCCACAGGAGAAGCCTGAAGGGGCTTTCAGCAGTGCAACTGACATGCCCCAGTCCCATGTCCCTGCCACATCCCTCCCCACCTGCTCAAAGCTGGGTTCTTGCTCCTGTCCTGTTTTCCCCTGGCACTTCCTGCTCTCCACAGGTCTCCAGGGGCCCTCCTGTACCTGCCTGCTCCTGCTCCCAGCCCTTGGGATCAGAGCATGTCCCTCCTGCCTGAGAGGGGCTGGCACCCAGAGCCCCTGCCCTTAGCAGGGGACAGAGCAGAGCCATCCCTGGGACTGAGTGAGCCCCCCACCTTGCCCAGCACTGCCCAGTGCCTGGTGCTGGTTCCCCCTCTCTCTGCAGTGCAGGTGCAGGCTGCGCCAGCACCACAGCTCCACAGCAGTTCTCTCTGCTCCATGTGTGCCAGGAGGGATCCAGTGGGCACTGAAGACTGGGATAGGACACTGCTCCTGTGTCCCATCCATGCTCGCAGTGGTGTGGCTCTGGGAGTGCTGCTCAGCCCTTGGCCCAGCTGCTCACAGGTCACCAGTGACCTGGAAAGGAGCTGTGGATGTGTCAGCCATGGGCCACGAGCCCAGGACTGCCCCGGGAGTCTCCCCCAAGCTGAATTGTTCATGCTCAGCACTCCCACAGTCCTGAAACTGTGCTGCCATGAGAAGGAGCAGCTTGGCTTGGCCAGCCCCCGCTCCAGCAGGGTTTAAATCCCAGCCCATAGCCCAGAAGCACATTGATCGCAGCGCAATGCTGGGCCACCGCACCCTTCTTCTGGTGCTGCTGGAACTGCTCACCCTGGCCCAGCAGCACAGCCCATGGGACCAGGGCACTGCCCTCACCTTCACTGCATCCCCACACCGGGCCCTGCAGGGACACTGGAGCCCCACTGCCCTGCCTGCTCCCCCCAAAATGGGTGAGTGTCCGGCGGGGGCGAGCGGAGCCCCTTGGCACCCCAAACTCTTCTGCCTCTCTGACCATGGCTGCCCTGGTGCTGAGAAGTGCTGCCAGATCGGGAAGGTCTGGACCTGCCTCCTGCCCGTGACAGGTACTGCTGCTCACCCCAAGGGATGCCAGCACGAGGATCAGGCAATGGGTGGGATGTGGGCTGGTGCCTGTGTTAGTGCCCCTGCAGCAAGTCCTGCTCCCTGGGACACGGCTGCATGGAGCATCTCCCCCTGCAGAGAGCCCAGGCTACTGCCCCCGTGCTGGCAGTGCCATTGGGCCAAGCTGTGGGACAAGATGTCACAACGACACCACATGCCACTCGGGGGAGAAGTGCTGCACCCGCGGCTGCTGCACCCGCTGCATGCTTGCTGAGCCAGGTGAGGTATCCTGGAGATCCCCATGCCAGGCTAAGGATGCCCTGGAGCAGCCCCAGGGGTCTGCAGCCCCCACCACACTGTAGGGGAGTTGTGGGCAGTGGGGCCAGGCTGGCTGCATGCCAAACCCTGAGTCTTCCCTCCAGCCAAACCTGGGTTCTGCCCTCGGAAGCGTGCCCAGAGAGCTGCTGCCTGCCCAAACCACTGCACCGATGACCGGGACTGCCCTGGGGATCACAAGTGCTGCTTCTCTGGCTGTGGGTTGGCCTGCACCCCTCCAGACACAGGTACAGCCCTGCTAGACCTCTCTGATCCCCACATCCAGCCCACACTGGCGCTAGCCCAGCTCCCTGCTGGCAGAGCCCAGCGTGTGCCCGGCCGTACTGCTGGACAAGCCACAGCGGCTGTGCCCGGCCAAGTGTGCAGCTGGTGGCATCCATCCAGGCCCCAGGGAGTGTGTGCTGCGGGCTGTGGCTCCCGGTGCCACACGCCTGCTCTGGCCACAGCCCCAGCCCTCAGGAGCCCCTTGCCAAGAGCTGGCCCTCAGGGTGCTGTGGGAAGGGATCCCCATGCCCAGCTCCTCCGTGATGGGTGGGAGATGGCTCCGAGTGCGTGAAAGGCTGAACCCCCTCCTGACCCTCCCTCCTGCACCCCCCTCTGACTGTGCTGCTGCAACCAGAGCAAGGGCTGTCTTTCACCACTCCAGCTACCAGCTGGTATCCCATATTGGGCTGTGACTGGTCCCACTGGGTGAGACTGGTATGGGTGTGAGGCTGTGAGGTCATCATGGTGCTCTGGGAAGGAAGACGGAGGCGCAGAACAGGGACAGGATGGAGATCGAGGCTATGCCAGGAGCAGGACTGGGGACAGAATCCCAGCACAGCTGCACCCCTCACTGTCACCAGGGAACCACCGTGACACAGTGAAGCCTGGCCTGTGCCCCGTGGTGCTGCGGGGCTCCTTGGGGCCCTGCCTGGAGCTGTGTGACACCGACAGTGACTGCACTGGGGACAACAAGTGCTGCACCACCGGCTGTGGCCACATCTGCAAACCACCCATCAAGGGTAAACCATCAGCACCCTGTGGGGCCAAGACCCCTGTGCCCCCTCCCTACCTGTCACCTCTGGGGACTGACTGAGCTGCTGTCCAGTGGGGCAGGAGCTCAGTGAGGAGCTCACCCCTGCAGGCAGGGCAGCTCCCCCACCCCAGAAGGGTGTCCTGAGCCCCTCACCCCTTTCTCTCTCCCCATGTACCAGCGTGGCTAGGTCTCTGTCCCCCTGCAGCAGAGGGTGATGGGGCAGCCAAGTGCCTCCTCCTGTGCTTGCAGGACAAGGACTGTCCCCTTGGGCAGAAGTGCTGCCTGCAGGGCTGCAGCCGGGTCTGCATCCACCCACTGTGCAGCATGTCCCCTCCAGCCTGCTGCCTCCTGGGTCCAGCCTGGAGGGGACAGAGGGGGGTGGGAGCACCACAGAGCCCCCAGTCCCTCAGAGAAGGAACACTGAGGCATCCTCACTGACCACCTCCCATGCCTCTTCCAGGTACAGCATAGCCATGGCCAGGAAGGGCTGCACCAGGAGCTGCCATTTCAGTCATCCCCCATCCCACTGCCATTGTGGGCTGAGCAGAGATGCTGCTGCACCCCACACCTCTCCATGTGCTGGACCCTCTGTACTGGCAGAATGGCACCAGCACTGACTGATGCTTCTGGTCAGGGTTCCTGGCATCCCCAGCCATGCCATTAAGGGCTGCACGCTGCCTGAGTTACACCATGGCCAAGATTCCTGCATGAGGCAAAACCCTGCATCCACAATGGCCCCAGCTGCTCCACAGCACTGAGACAGAATAAACCATCCCACAGCCACTTCTGCTCTGGATCAGTATCCCTGTTCTGTGCTCTGGTTCCCAGAGGCGCTGGCAGCCTGGGCTGCGTGCAGGCAGGGAGGTGCAGGCAGCCATCCCTGCAGGCAGGTGCTGCCCCAGGGCAGGGAGAGGGTCCCAGTTCCATGCAGGTGACTTCCAGCCATCATCATTCCATGGTAACCATCCTGCTGGCCTGGGGGCTGCATGATGTCCCCTCAGCAGTCATGGACTGGAAAACCAGTTCCCTCAGATTCCTTGTGCCAAGGAAGGGCTCATTTGCATCCCAGAGTGTGAAAATCTTGTGGGAAAAGCAGTCACAAGTCAGGACAGATGGAGCACCCAGACAAGGAAGGGGACTGGGGGAATCACTCATGTGCTTACTTATGATGCTGGACCCCAAGCAGTCCCATGCATAGAAGCTACACTTGGCTGAGGAGCAGCACCATGGCAGTAGCATTGTTAGAACCCCTTGTGCTGCTCCCACTGCCATGCCAGGAGCCATGGGGTCTATCCACAGCCCCCACTCCAAGGAGTAGAGGGGTGAGTGCGGCTGGAAGGAAACCCAGAGAGGGACTGGCAGCCAGCTCCAGCAAGGATGGGGTGGTGCAACATGGGGGTCAGTGCCTGACCCCATCTGGCCTTCCCAGCCCCACAGGTCATTCTGACCCCAAAGCAGAGCTTGGCCAGAGATAAGCAGGATGGCTGGCGGGGCGCCGGCAGGTTCTGGGAACTGCCCCTCCTCCTGCCCCTCCTGCCCATAGCACAACCAGCTGCCACAGCAGGCAGCTCAACTTCAGCTGCCCTGCCACTTCAGGCACCGTTGCCACAGACTTTAAACAACACCCCTGGCAGCACCATGAGCCCAGGAGTTTTCCTCCTCCTGGGCCTCCTCATCCTCAGGGCAGAGCCGAGCGTAACACCAGAGAAGGGCGGTGAGTACCAGGAGTCAACCCCGGCAGCTGCCAGGCACAGGCAGCCTGAGAGCAGCTCCCTGCATCCCGGCCCCCGTGTCCCTGCCGTGTCCCCTCTGTCCCTGCCCAGCATTTGCTGACAGGGACCGTGTCCCAGCTAGCTGCAGCACCTGCACCGCAGCCCTGCTGCCTGGGGGACCCTGTCCCCACCCCGGGGTGCAGGGACACCTGTGCATGCCTGCAGCCCCGGGGGCACCCCCTGCACCCCACAGGCACGAGCAGCAGGGTCTGTGCTGTGTCCTGGGCACAGACCCTGCTGCCAGCCCCCGCCGTGGGACAATGCCTGGGGCGGTGGTGCCCAGCTGCGGCGTGGCTCTGCCCACACCGGGACCACAGCCGGTGCCTCTTTGTTTGAACCGAGCAGCTGCTGTTTGCAGTGAAACTCCGGCGGCGTCTGTTTGCAGCCCAAACACCCGGCCCGGGCGGGCGGCTGGCAGAGGCGGCTCCCCCCGCAGCCCCAGCTGGCAGCAGGAGCCGGGCACAGGCACCAGCTGGAGCTCGCCTGTACCAGAGGCAGGGCTGTCCCAGGTTTCCAGCATGGCCAAGAGGAGCACAGGGTGCCAAGAGGAGGAGGAGAAGGAGAAGGAACAGGAGGAGACAGCTGCCGTGAGGAGTGTGTTGCTTGCAGTGAGGATGCCTGCAGCAGCAGGATGCTCAGGAATAGGTCCTGATCTCCAGCTGGTGCTGGCTTCACCCTGACAGGGCCAGTGACACTCCTTGTGGCACTTGTGAGGGCACACACAGGACCGTGCCACACCGCACCATGACGTGCCATGCTGTGCTGTGCCACGCTCTGCTGCGCCATGCAGGTCTTGATGTGTCCAGCAGCCCTGGCCATGATGCAGAGAAGTCTCCAGCGCCTGGGCTGCAGTCCCTGCTCCGATTCCTCGGCCCCTGCAGAGAGACCCACATCCCGCTTCCCCAGGGATGGAGGATAAGGGGCTCTGGCACTGTCCTGACATTGCCATCCCAACGCAGGGGACCTGCAGAAACCGGGGAGGTGTCCACGGGACTTCATGCGCTGCTTGCGCCTGGACTCCCCACTCTGTGCCAATGACTCCAGCTGTCCCGCTGGGCTCAAGTGCTGCCACTGGGAGTGCCGGCTCCGCTGCATCCCCCCGGCAGAAGGTACAGCACCACGCTACAGCCGCTGACACCACCTCTGTCCCGGGGCAGCTGGCACCCTTCTCCCTGTCCCATTCCCTGTGCAATCCCCATTGCTACGGAGCAGCTCCCTGCTAGCAGCCTCCTGGCCGCCGCTGGGATATGTGGATGGGATGGGACACAGGAATGGGTGCAGCCAGGGCGAGGCAGAGAGGCCTGGCAGGGGTAGGTTTCTTGGTGCTGCCCTAGGACACTGCAGTGCAGCCTCACCTCTCGGCCCCTCGGCGCTGCAGAGAAGCCCGGTGCCTGCCCGGCAGCAGCCCCGGAGAGGCTCATTGCCGCCTGCTCCTTCCCCTGCCTGGAGGACAAGGACTGCCTGGGAGCGCAGAAGTGCTGCCCGCTGGGCTGCGGCTCTGCCTGCTTGGAGCCGGTGCAGGGTAAGGACTCGGGGGGACGGCTGGGAGCCCTGGCTCACCCCAGGGACCCTGTGTCCCACAGTTGTCTCCCTGATGCCCTGGCCCCTGGGGCAGCACACGCAGCTTTCCCTGCACCGGCAGCTCCTGACAGCTGCCG